TTGGTAATCACCAGTGTTCCGTGTGGATATTAGCTGCCCCATCGGCCTGGGGTCCAGGGTGAGGACAACATTGATGGGAAGAAATCCCCAGTTGATCCTTGCTGAACATATAGCACAAGTAAGAAGCAAACATTTGTGATTTTCAGTCATTGAAATGTTGGGATTGTTTGTTATAATAGTGCAATCTATCTCATCCTGACTGATACAGCCACTTCACTAGAAAGGCGAGCCAAAGATCCAAATGCACCATTTAATGCACATTGATTTGGGAGCTTACTGTGCATTAAACACCATGCTAGATGTTATGATTCCAGATTATTTAGATTTGGCACCATCCCACAAAGGGCTTATAGTATAGAAGGCATGTAAATAAACTGTCACTCAGTTGTAATTGCCACCATTTTAGCAAAGGTGAATCTAGGGTACTATGGGAAGGAGAAGTCATTGAGTCCTACATCAGACAAAATCAGCAAGAAAGAGAGCGTACTTAGCTAAAAGTTTTGAAGGGACATTTTACTGAAGGGACCATTTTTGAGGTATAGCCAGGGTTAGCGTAGCTACAGGGATGTTGAGGCATCCATGGCCATCAACAAGGGAAAGCCAACTCTACTCAAGCCTGAAGGGACAAGGGCAAAAAATGGTATTACTGTACCTGGTAAGAGCTGGACTCATTGCAGAGAGGCTGTGTAACACCAACTATAGTTCTAGAAGGGCACAGTCATTGCCAGAAACACAGCAAAAACAGTCAAGGAGCAAGAGGAATAAATGCTGACTTCTCTCTTTTTCTGCTCTCTGATCTCCTGCTCATCCCTCCTATTGGCCAGATCCATCTGGAAACCAGAGACAAGGATACCTGGGTGATGCCATCAAAGCAGTTGGGAGAGGTCAACCTCTCAATCCTCAGAGCAGAGTGGAGAAGATCAGGGCATGAGTCTGGAAAAGCAAATAGAGAATATCCTGAACATGGTCCCAAAAAGGCGAAATATCATTGAAATAATATTTCAGATATTGTTAACAATAGTTAAACAATATTTTCTAAAATTTTTTATTTCATTGCTTAATTAATTAAAATGCCTGAATTTGCAAAGATAGTCCACAGCTATGGTTGGAATAGGGAAGGAGTGTAGAGGGCTAGATACTTGAGGTTCCTATAATGAGAGAGAGGTAATGAGCATGTGACCAGAAATCTCATCTTGAATTTTTCATTCTCAATAAAGACTTTATTTTGTTTAAGAGAAGTTTTAGGTTCACAAAAAAATTAAGAGGAAGGTCTAGAGATTTCCCATACACCCTTCCCCCGACATGCACAACCCTCTCCATATTGACAACTCCAGAATGGTCCACTTGTTACAATTGATGAATCTACATTAACACATCATAATCACCTAAAGCCCATAGTTTACAATAAGATTCATTCTTAGTGTTGTGCATTCTATGGGTTTGGACAAATATATAATGACATGTATCCCCATTATGGTATCATATAAAATAGTTTCATGGCCTTAAAAATCCTCTATGGTCCACCTGTTCATCTCCCCTACCCCCCTGCCAAGCCCTGGCAACCCCTGATCTTCTTATTGTGTCCACAGTTTTGCCTTTTCTAGACTCATACAATTGGAATCACATAGTATATAGACTTTCCAGATTGGATTCTTTTACTTAGTAATATGTGTTTAAGGTTCCTCCATGTCTTTTCAAGGCTTGGTAGTTCATTTCTTTTTAGCACTGAATAATAGTGCATTGTCTAGATATATCAGTTTATTTATCCATTCACCTACTGAAGGACTTCTTATTTGCTTCCAAGTTTAATCTTGGATCTTTTTTTTTTTTTTTTTTTTTTTTTTTTTGAACAAAGAGATAGATGGAAGACAGGTAGGGAGAGAATAGATGGGAGGATAAGGAGGAATGTATCTTCTGGCCAGAGACCAGATCACTAGAGGTAAATTGTAAGGTAGAAGTTGCATCATAGTTTTCTAACCTAGCCTCAGAAGTCATGCATTATCATTTCTGTCATATTCTATTAGTTACAAGACAGTTACAAATTCACCCAGATCTAAGTGGAGAAGAATTAATTCTATTTCCTGAAAGGGAAAACAGGTTCTAGAACAGTGATGAACAATAGAGTAGCCACTAGCAACACATGCCTATGCCTATTTACACGTAAATTAATTAAACTTTAATTGTTATGTTTGCCAAAGGAGGAATGCACAAGGCTGAAGTGGTTAAGGAAGATTTATTGTAGCAGAGTGACAGCCTGGCTGACCTGAAGATGGCATCAGCCTCAAATGTGAAGAGACCTGAAACTTTTTCTTTTTTTCTTTTTCTTTCTTTCTTTCTTTCTCTCTTTTTTTTTACGCCTACAGCACTCCATCTTCCTAGGTGGTCTCCCATCCAAGTACTAACCAGGCCCGATCTTGCTTAGCTTCTGAGATCAAACAGGATCATGCATGTTCAGGGTGGCATAGCCGTAAACCTGAAACTTATATGGAGCTTGAGGTGGGCTTTTCGGTGGGACTATTTTGGGTGGGTAAATCGGCAGCAAAGGGAGGAGAGTCCAGTGAAATGGGAGGTGAGCATGTAGCATTGCCAACCTGGATACAAGGTCTGGTTCCCACACAAAGGTAAGGGAGGAGTCTTGTTCCCACACTATGGGGGTAGGGATAGGGCCCTCCTAGATCTAACATTAATAACATTAGAAATTCAGTTCCTTAGTCATACTATTGACATTTCAAGTGCTTGATAGCCACATGAGGACAATCACATACAATTTGGATGAAGAGGGTAAAATCTATAAAGGCTTCATGCAATTAGTGGCATTTTAGACAGGCTCAAAGAGTGGGAATACTGCATAAGAAAGCAAGATCATCTTCAGGGGCTCATTTCAAAGATTTAATACCTATGATTTAATTCCCTCTACTGATCTGGTTTCTGGTCAACTGGTAGATGTTCCTCTTCCTATCATACCACCCTTCTCTCTCCATTTGTCTTCTGTTCCTCACTTCCCAAGTAAGATCTACAATGAAATACTCATCTGAATTAGCCAGGTGGTCTCTAAATGCAATGACAAATGTCCTTATAAGAAGGATGCAGAGACAGATTTAAGACAGAAGAGAAGCAGACCATGGAATGGAAACAGAGCCATAGAGAGAAAATGCTATGCTGCTGGTTTTGAAGATAGAGAAAGGGACCACAAGCTAAGGAATGCAGCTCTGGATGCTGAAAAAGGCCAGAGAAACACATTCTCCCCTAGAGTCTCTGGAGGGAACATTACAGTCAACATCTTGATTTTAGCACCATACAACGCCTTTCTGACTCTGGCCTCTAGAACTGTAAGAGAATAATTTTGTTTAAGCCACCAATTTATGGTGACTTGTAGCAGTCATAAGAAGTGTATATAGCTGGGAACAGAGCTGATTAAGAACCAACACATAGACCGGGGATCTCTGCTTCTTTCAAATTCTAAGGACTTGCTATTGGATCTAGGTTATTATGTCATATGGCTTCTTCCCTGTGGTTGAATCCTCTCCTTAAACTCTTCAGGCCTCATACCTGCAAAATAGAAAAATGTTTTTTGTCCTCACCTCCACACCAGTTCTCCTGACAAATCCACACATCAAATTTAGCAGTGGACAGAGCTTGAACAGTCCTCAGTGGGTCTTCAGACCCTTTGCAAATAGATTTCTGTCTGGCCTTTCCCCACCAATTTTAAACATACCCAGACATACCCTCACCATCCGCAATGTATTGTCTTAATTTGAATAACATCATAAGAAACTCACCTTGAGTCTAAGGCTAAAATCACCCCAGCTTTTCTGACAGTCTCTCTGCATTTATACAAATTAGTTATATGTAGCCAGTTATTCTTTCCTCCTCAATAGTCTGTCAATTCTTCAAGACCAGGAACTGTATCCTAATTTCCTAATATGCACTTGGCAGCTAGGATGTTCCAGTCAATGTTTGATTCTTGCAATTCCACAATGACAGAAATTTGGATACAACAGATAGACTGGTTTGAGCATAATGAATCTTAGTACATAGGTTAATTATTGAGTGTGCAGTACCATCCAAACTCTTGGAAGATTATAGCTCTGTTTTTGAAAGAGAGACAGAGATACTCCCTCATTCCGGATACATACTGAATCTTGACTTTAGGAATCAGATTGTCCTGGGTTTAACCCCAGTTTTGCCACCTATCGACTATTGACTTTGGAAGAATTACCTAACCTTTCTAAGCCTCAGTTTCCCTAGTTGCAAAATTAACATTCTATTAATTTTAGGATTATTTTAAGTATTAAATGAAGCCTAACATTGTATTTGTTGTGTAGGAAGCATTCCAAAAATGATATCCGCTCTTTCTATGACTTCTTTCCATATATTCTTTTTCTTTTCTTTTTTTATTTTTTATTTTTTATGGAGAGGCTAAGATTGTTAATGTCCTTTTGGGGCACAATTGGAGAAGCGTATCTTGAAAGAGGGAGCTGACCATCATATCACCAGGGCCTAGACTGCAGTGAAGAGAGTAAGGTGAGTTACAAATGTGCAAGGTCAAATCTTGTTTTTATATAAAACGCTGATATTTTGTTCATTGTGGCTGACTTTGCAAAATATTGCATTAAAACGTTACTTATCTTGATAACCTACTTTTTTGGCACTCTCTTAAATTTTGTGCCCAAAGTAATCCTTCATTCAAAGTCCTGCTCTGCTTGCAGCACTTTGTGCCAGTCACGCTACGACTTAAGCACGGGACCAAGGCAGCCAGAGAAGCCTGTAGGACAAGACCTGTAGGACAAGACTCTCCTCTGAGTTTGAACTTGCGCTTTCCAAGCCCTAGAACGTCTTACCCAGCTAAGAAGAGTAGAGGAAGTGGACTACAACACCCAGAAGGCTGCGCGGCACAGCCCCCTCCCTTGCCCCGCCCCCTCTGCAAAGACCCAGGCAGCGAGCCCGGAGTTAGTGTTCTTGAAGCCGACTTCCTAAGGGAGTCACGCTCAGGACAGCAGGCTTCATGGCGGCGCGACCGGTGTCCCGGATGCTGCTGCGGGTCTTGAGGTCCAGCGTCCGGAGCTGCAGCTCAGGGGCTCCAGTGATGCAACCCTGTCCCGGGGAGTCCTCCCAGTCTGCCACGGAGGTAAGCCAGTCTGTGTTCCCGGGATGGGGTGGCCTGGCAAGCTTCCCCTTATGCCGAGAGAAGCACCCCCGGCCGTCTGTGGCCTCTTTTGCGAGGGACCCCTCGGCGCTTAATTGGGGGTGGGGAGAGGCATGGAATGCTCTCTAGATTAAACCATTCTCACCCCATTCCCCAGCGCGGGGGAGCAGGGGGCGGGGCGCTCCTTGAGGTTGTTGCCTAAAACTCCCTGCCTATTCAAACCGTGCAACCCCTTCCAGGTATGAGTGGCTACCAGAGATAGGGAGCTGGCAGGTAGGACTTCGAATCCTATGAGATGTTATTAGTATCCCTCAGACTTGCCTCTTAAATATTTTCCTCCCTATCCCTTATTGGAGATTGTTTGTGTATGATCAGGTGTTCCTGTGTGACACTGACTGAAAATGTCACCTTGGTACCACCAATAGTTGTCACTTCTGTAGTCACAGGGCTCTGACTGTTTCATCTTCATCTCCCTTAGGAAGATTGGGCCTCATTATAGAGCAGCACGGAGCAGGAGGATCTGGGCTTTTCCAGGTTAAAGATACTGGTTTCTCTGTAGGGTCAGGATAGGCTCCCTCAGTCCTTGACAGCACCCTCAGAGTGATTCCTATCACAGTAAGTTTTAAGTTTGTTCTTTTCATATAGGGAATAATTTTGGGAAAAACATCTCTTCTCATTTGTGAAACCTTTTTTTCTAGACTCTTCTGGTTATTCTTTTCCCATGTCCTACCATAAAGCTTCATATCCTAGGAGAGGGCCTCAGCTTAACTTGCTTTTCCCAAATCTGAACCCCTCTGGGATCTTCAGATAGCATGCCCCATTGCTGGAAAGTTTACAAGTGTTTCAGTATCCTTGAACTCTGAGTTTCATTGAGGGAAAAATAGGAAAGCAAAGATTGCTGTGAGATCTTTAAACAATTCAGGAAAAGGAAAGTTTCTTCTTCCTCCTGCCCCTGATTTATTTTGTATCTTTCATGAGAGGACCTGTGCTAAGTGCTTTAGTCCTCATAGTAAATCGTGTTAAATAAGCAGAGTGTATTTCAGGTGTGAGGGCTTATTGAAGTTAACTTGAATAAAGTAAAGGAGCAGGAGCTCAAACTCTGGAGCCTGTGCTCCTGCTTCTTCCATGTGGGGAGAAGAGGGGGTGAGGCCTATCTCTTCCTTTATACTGTGAGGGGAGCCATGATTAGTAGGTAAGAACATAGATGCTGGAGCAGAATGCCTTCCCACTTATGAGGTATGTGAACTTCACCTCTCAATGCCTCAGTCTTATCTGTAAAATGGGAATAGTAGTGTCTATTCTATCAGGTGGTTATAGGGATTAACAGAGTTAATGTACACACACCCACATACTTAGAACAAAGCCTGGCACATGTAAGTGCTGAATTCTGTATGTTCAGTGTAATTGTCATCTTTGCTGCCCATGCTGTGTCCCATCAGTCCCCTCCCGCCTAGACATTCAAGATAGTCATACCGTCAGCTATTTGGTCACCGACCTCCCATCCTGGATGCTCCCCACTAGGGTTATCTTCGGCAGACGGGTTGCTCCTTGAGTGCTGGATGCTCCCCTGCCTTTCTAAGTATTTCTCCACAGTGCTTAACATGGTGCTCTGTAGGCAGTGGAATCGGCAGATATTTTTGGCTGTTTGGAACACAACTAGTGAGGGGGCTCATGGAATAGAAGATAGAGTAATGGATAGGGAGCCCTATGTTTTCACCTTTGCTCTACCTCTAATTTCACCTAGCTCTTGGGTCTTTCACTTTCTCTTTCTTAATGTTCTTAAAACCAGAGCGTTGTGCCAGCCCACCTTTACACAGTGGGAAAGGGTACAGAATGTCTTTGAGAGAATCTCAGAGGTGAGACAAGTTTGGAGATAAATATATATTCAGTCTATCCCCAGAGCTTGCCAGTTGGCAAGAGCAGAGGTGGCAGCATCTGGGACCCCTATCCTGTCTTGTCTTTCTTTCCTTCAGGGTGCTTTCCGCCACCCCACTCCCAGAGCCCTGGCCCTCTGGTTTGGGATCAGAGGTGCTTGGAGGGACAGAGGGGAAGAGGAGAAAGCCATGGGGTAAATAACATTTTGTGTGTCAGGGTGTGGGTGTGAGAGAGAGGTGAGGTGTAGAGTGGGAGCTGGCTGTGAGGACAGTGGCAAGGAGGTCTTGGGGTTGGTTCAAGGATAGGTTCAGCAACTACTACAAATAAGAAGGGCAAGTGGTAGTGTGTAGGTAAATGGGGAGGTGGGAGGAAGAGATGCAGCTACCTGACGTCATGATTGGGGTGGCCCAGACAGTCTACTCTGGAGAGCTTACCCCAGTCCAGAAGCACTACACCCATCTTTGTTTCCCTCAGGTTCCATGCAGGCTTTGTTGGTGCCAGAGGGCTCTCCTCAGGTCTTGGGCCTCCTGCCTTGGGGCAGGGGAGAGAAGAATGTGCTGGGTAGAGGCACCCAGCTGTTCAAAGGGCCCAAAAGAAACAGATGTTGGAGAGCAGGTTATAGAGGAAGGAACTGCGTGCAGGAGAAAGTAGAAGGGTACAGCAGGGCTTGGCTTGGGGACAGGGACACATGGAAGGAAAAACGATAGAGGGAAAGCAGGGGGTTATCTTGACTCTCAGCCTGCCCAGCTCCTCAACATCCTTACTTGAGAAGAGTGTGACACTCCTTGACAGGAACCATGGGTGTGAAGACCTCACATTTAGGGTGGAGGAAGGGGAGGGAGCTAGGCCTGGGGCTGGCACTTTGCTAGATCTTCTCACTTAGTAGAGATTGATTTTTGAGGCACTCCAAGTATACATCATTGCAAATAGTAGGTAAATCGGGGCTACCGATATTTGAGTTTGGCATGTGCTTTTTCTCCTGCATAACTCTGCACTCTGTCTACACTCTAGCTGTTTGGGGGTTGGCCTTTATCATCAAAATCAAACACTCAAGGTTAGCGACTAACTACTAGGGGAGGCACTTTGAGGGCAGGGTCCCTTACTTAACTAATTCCTTTGTACCACCCTTCCCCAACCCACTCTTCCCCGGTCTTCACTGGGCAGGTAGACAAAATAACTAGTAACATATGGTAGGCTGCCAAGTGCCTGATTGTTAGCTCTAGTGTCTGTGGTCCTGGGTGTCTTAGACCCCACTGTCCTGTTTTGAGTAGTGTGACAGCAGGTCAGAAACCCCAGCCATGGCCCATCTGCCTTTAAGTAGGGTGGAAGGCCAAGACCTTGCAGGACTGGAGAAGCTGACAAGAGTGAGAAAACTAGTCACAGCACACACAATTGCGCCTCATGAATATTTTTTTGTTTGACGACTGGACATAAGTAAGCGGGTGTTATATTAAGAAAATGGCAGCAATCACATATTTGGTACCTACTCTGTGGCAATGAACACCTCCAATTTACTTAGGTAGATAATTATCTACACTTTATGGAGGCGGAAACTTAAGGCTTAAAGAATTTAAGCGACTTGCTCAACAGCTAGTGAGTAACAGAGCCGAGCTTATAATTCAGGTTTACGTACTCCCAAAGCCCTGTGCTCAGAACCACAACAACTACCCCTGAAGTAGAATGACACCTGATCCTGTTGTGTCTGGGCCTGTGGTTCCGAGGCTGGGCTGCAGAGTAGTAAGCTAAGCACTTCAAACGAACAAAAACGAAGCTGGGGCCCATCTCAGAGCAATTGAATCAGAATTGGTGGGACTCTAGCATTAGTACGTCTTAGAAGCTCTTCAGGTGATTTTGATATGCAAGCAGAGCTGAGAACCACTGTACTAGGTTAAACCATTTTGATACTAGAGCCCAGCCAGGAAATCAAAGATGATCCCAATGAAAATGGGTTTTGCACACACCTCTTTCTCTTTGGATTAGGGACCTGCCTACTTGTTCATTGACACAGAAGTTTGATACTTGCTATGAACATACTGTTTGGACACAGGGATACCAAGTCAGGCAGGAGGGCTTCCCACACAGGGAAAACAGCTTGGTTCAGGCTGGGGCCCTGGGTATAGGATCCACTAAGGCCATTCTACTTCTGACATGTCCCAGCCCTTTCTAGGTGAGAAGTATTGCTGTCTACCTTGCCTGATGGTAATTCCTTCTGGGTCCAAGACTTCTTTGACTAATACTGATTATTTTTTTTCTCTGGGATATTTGAGGGAAAGGAAAAAACTAGAAGAACGAAAGTAGGGCATGCAGTGTGGGATAAAAGAGGCAGAGATGAAACTTGTTAATATCCACATGATGAATTTGCAAGTCTTGAGGGGAGGGAGTGGGAGAGTGTGTATATATGTAGGAGGCTAAGCTGGGTCAGGTACTGGCAGTACAGAGTTTGAATGAATCTACATAAGGTCACCCCACGTCTCAAAAATGAAATTCGGCCTGCCTCTCCCCTGGTCAGAACAGAGTGTCTAATTCCATTCTTGATTGCCCCATTACACTGCTTGCTCCTGGGTTTCTGCTGAGTCGTACTCCTTGGTCCTCTCACTTGCTTCCAATTCCTGGATTTATTTTGTCTCCTCTCTCACCCAGCCACTTCCCCTATATGTTAAGATGAGGGTGAGGCAGTGGGCATCTTGGCAAGTAAGAAGGTAGAGTTTGGAGTGATTAACAAATTAATGAATTGCAAATAGCTATGGATGGAGAAGAGGGTGCAGCTACCGTAAATCCAGATTCCCAGGCATCTTGTCTCCTGGACTCTGGTGGCCAATTGAACCCTTAACTCTGGAGCATCCCCTGCCCCACTCGAAGATAACCAGTGGAAAGGCAGTGGGGTGAGCAGGGAGGACAGGTACTATTATGATTACAGTAAACTGCAGTTCAGAGAAGTGACTGCTGCTTACTTGTCATGACTTGTCATGGGACTGGGAGCAGGGTTTCTTGGAGGATGTGGGAAACTGGTCTCAGGGTGGGCAGTGAGGTCAGTTTGCTAAAGGGCTTGAAAACTAGGCAAAAGCATGTGAATGGGATCCCTGGGTTCTAAAGCCTGTTTCCCTATTTGGGGAAAGTCCCTTACCTTTTCTAGAACCCAGTTTCCTTTACCTAGGCTTTTCTTCAGCTGTAAATGTTATTTTATCATTTTCTATAATCAGACCTGCTACAGTGTTTCTCAAACCTTGGCTGCACATTAGAATCACTTGGAGAGATTAAAAACACAAGCACTCAGAGATCAAATACAGTTGGCTTCCAGTGGAATTATTTGCTTAAGCTCCCCAGGTGGTTTTAAAGTAAATGTTTCTTTCTCCTGGGTGCAAGTCAGCAGTTTCCCTGGACCTCAGGAGGGCCTGAGGCCTTTTGCTCTCTTAGGTTACGAAATCATGATAATCCTAGTTGTTTATCTACCAGCTTCCTGCCCCACTTTCTTTACCTTAGCCCATTACTCTGTTCTTATTTTACAAGTGGAAAAACAGGTCTCCAGGAGTTATGGAACTTTTCGAGTATATAGGGTCACTCCTGGCCCAGAAACCAGGAGTTCTTGCCCCAATCCAGAGTCTTGCCCGTAGCCCTCATGGATGACTGCCAGGTTAGAATTTCTTTGTTCTAAAGATTCTAAAGAAGTGGCTTCTCGTCGCCCTGTATACCATCCCATGTACCTTCTCTGACTTGCCCTATGCAATTAGAGGAAAGAGTTTAGATCTTGGAATCAGAGGACCTGGATTTGAATCCTTGTTCTGCCAAAGGTGTTCATGGACCGCATCCAAGCCTTATTTATATTAAGTCTTGGGGTAGGTGTGGGGGTTGAACAGAGAACATTCTCTGGAACTTTAAGATGTTTTTCAAATGTATCTTCTTAGAGCAATCTAATCTAATGAGCTATCTCATTATCATCTGTCAAGGTCTAGGGTTCTGCTTTCAAAGCAGGAAATCATACTACATCAGACTTCGGAAAGGATAAGGTTGGCTGCCTCCTTTCTCTCTCCAGGATGAGTTTGGGCCTTGCAGTGAGCCTCCAGCAATCTCCTCCCACTTAGGCTCCAAACAATAGATGCATAATCCTTCTTTCTGGCAATGGATAGAGTGAAGGATAAAGATTGGCATAATCTTTGCATGGGGTTAGTGGGGTGGTCATTCTGGCCCTTCCACTCTGCCTTCCTGGAGGCTGGTGGCCTCATTACTTTTGCAGGTCTCCCTGGTTGTGCTGTTCTTGCCCCAGAGGCCTTCTGCCTGAGGGAAGCCCTCCGGTGGGTATACCTACCCCAGCTGTTCCCAATGGCTTGGCCTGTTGGGTCGTCCTGGGCAATGGGGATGCTCCAGGGAGCCCAGGGAATTAGTTAAGAGAAAAGCAGCTTGTGTGACACCCAGTCCCCAGAGTTAGTGCTTTCGCTTTGAGCTGCTTCTGTCTGCTATGGTAAAGATAAAGAATGGGAAACATGGGTTGGAGAGGTGGCTTACGAAGTCCCAGGTCATGCAGCAGTGGTACCACCATCCTCAGTTACCTGCTCCTTCCCTCCTCCTCTCTGGACCTGCTTGCCAGTTGGTATGGTTGCCATTTTCCAAGTGGCACGTTTTCTTTCAGTGACCTGTCCAAGAGATACTGGAGACGTTTGTTCCTGGATGGGCTTCTTTTGAGGGAGGGGGAATGGGTATGCCCTTCAGTGGTCCCACACCCATGAGCTGAGTGTTGGGGACTAGGGGCATGTCCTTCCCTTCAGGCTTGTTTCCCGATCTGTGAAGAATGGGCAATCCCAGCTCCCCCAGGACTGTGAAACCCACATGGATGGAAAGTTTAGAAGTGCTGTACAGATGTCAGAGATGAGAGGGGGTGGTTGATGAGACAAGGTTATGTCCCCAAGGTGGGATTTCCCCAGGTGGGCTCTCCTTGCTCCTCTCCAGCCAGGGAGCAACCACCCATGTTTCCTCCCTGCCTTGTCACTGCAGGAGCTGTCCAGGCGGAGGCAGTTCCTGAGGGAGCACCCGGCCCCCTTCTCTGCCTTCCTCACTGACAGCTTCGGCAGGCAACACAGCTACCTGCGGATCTCCCTCACAGAGAAGTGCAACCTCAGATGTGAGTCTCCTTCCTGGGCCCTTTCTGGGCTTCTGTCTCTCTGTTGAAGCAGTTTCTGAAATCTCCTTATGCCCAAGAATCCTTCTCAATCCTCCCAATTCTTTCTAACTTGCCCACCCATCCATTTTCCTTGCTTGTCATGTGGAGTTCAGGGGTAAGATAGTGGTCGAGATTGAGTTTCATGATCCTCGAAGCTGGATTCTACTTGGGATTAGGTTTGAGAATAAATTTGCTATTGTGGTTAGGATCTAGGCTGGATCTGGAACTCTCTTCAGGGGTCATTTTTTTCTTTCCTCCCATTTCCTTGCAGGGCTCAAAGTTCAGGACAAACGCGGATGGTACTCACCCAGGGTGGCCGTGCTAGACACCATAAACATGTGACATACACAGGGGTGCCCCTGGCCAACACTGCCAGCTATGGAGACACCCCAGTCTCATGTTGGAAGTTGTCCGGCCAAGCAGATACACAGAGTCCTCACTTCATAATCCCACACACAGTGCTCGGGGGATGTATCCACTGGGGAGAAACTTGCAAAGTTTGCGTGCCCCTCTCTGTCCCTCCCTGCCTCCCTTCCTTCCACTGTAATTCACAATAAGAAATATATTTATTTTATGACCTAATAAATAACGTGTGTGTGTGTGTGTGCGTGTGTGTCTGGGTGTATCACTTCTCGGCCTTTTGGCTAAGATCAAATGTAGTTTTTGTTCTTAACGGTTTAAATAAGGTGTGTGTGTGTAGTAGTTTAACCTAACAATACTTACTGCATGTGGTACTGATGTTCTGATATTCTTATCTATCTTATTCTGTCTTAAAAGACCAATCTGGACCCTTCACTAATTTGGCCGAATGACACTCTAACACATTTCGACCCAACTCTTGATAACACTGTACCAAGTGAACTGATGGTAGGGATAGTGCCCCCGCTCACCTGCCAGGGCTCACTTCATTTACCCCATTCTGCTAACTCGCCCTGAACAAGTAGTACCTCAGTTTTCCACCCTATAAGACGGGACTGTTAATAAGCTACCGCTGCTTTTACCAGGCCAGAGAGTACTTCCCAGCCTCCTGCACCTCACAACACAGACAGAGATGGGTAACTCTTTGCAAAAAACGGGTGAAATGAAAGAGGGTGAACAATACCAGCAGAAATGGGCCCAGAACAGGGGGAATCAGCATCTTGGCATCTCCCTACCCCAAGCCAGGCTCTCCTCTCAGCCTAGTTTATCATCTTTAACCCTTACCCTCACCCCCCCACCCCTCCATGGAGGGATGTTGCCAAGGAGAAGAATGTTAGCATTTCATAAATGAGAAAGGTGAGGCCCAGAGAGAATCTGGCCTAGGGTCTGGACCTCAGATTTAGCAAAGTCTCTCATCATTGTCTAGGTGGGGTTCAGGAGAAAGTTCTGGCCTGGTGGGGACATGGGGGATCGGAGACATCATGGGCCTGACTTCTGTCATTATTTCCTACCTCCATGTCCCATCTCTTCCCCTTTAGGTCAGTACTGCATGCCCGAGGAGGGTGTCCCACTGACCCCCAAGGCTGACCTGCTGACCACAGAAGAGATCCTGACCCTGGCACGTCTCTTTGTGAAAGAAGGCGTAGATAAGATCCGGCTTACAGGTGGAGAGCCTCTCATCCGGCCGGATGTGGTGGATATCGTGGGTGAGTTTGAAGTTGTCATCACTTCTCCCAACTTCTCCCTCATCCAATTGGATTCAGATATTAATATCAACAGCTAACATTCATTTAGAGCATTATGCTCACTTAGTCCTATAACCCTCTAAGACAGGTACCATTATTATTACCATTTTGCTAAGAAATGAGGCACAGAGACGTTCAATAACTTGCCCAGGGTCACAAAGCTAGTAAGTGCCAGAGCCCAGAGTCTTGCAATCACATTTAGACTGTACAAGGGCCTGGGGGCCCATGTGATCTGGCTCCTGCTGACTTCTGAGACCCCTTGCCTGCCCCTTTGCCCCGCTCCATCCCCTCCAGTCATAGTGCCAGGCCTTTGCACTTGCTTTTCACTTTCTAGGAGCATAGGGGTCATTGCTTTCCTCATTTAGGTCTCTGCTCAAATGTCATCACCTTGGGGAGGCCCCTTTGGCCATTCTATCTAAAGGACATCCCCATATACAGATGTTGAATTATAACCTGAAACACAATAAAAAATTTAAAAAATAAAGTGCATCTCCACATAGACACCCCAGCAACACTCTGTCCCAAGAATTGGCAAGCTATAGCCGATAGGCCTAATCTAGGCTACCACCTGTTTTTGTGTGGCCCGCAAGTGAAGAATGGTTTTTATGTTTCTGAAAACTGAAAAAAAGATGTCAAAAGAATAACATTGTGTGACACATGAGAATTATATGAAATCCTGAATTCACTGTCCATTATTAAAGTTTTATTGGCACATAGCCACACCACTCATTTACATGTTTCCCATGACTGCTGTTGCAGAGTTGAGTAGTTGCAACAAAGACCATGTGGCCAGCAAAACCAAAAATATTTACTCTCTGGCTTTTACAGAAAAAGTATGACAACTCCTACTCTATCCCATTATTCTGCCTTATTTTTCTTGATAGTGTTTGTCTCATCTTGATGTTATGTAATTTGGTCATATGTTTTTGTTTCTTGTATCGTCTGTTTGCTTCATTAACTGGCATGAGAACTCTCAGGGAACTCTGGCAGAGTTTGCCCACAGCTGTGTTCCCAGAACCTAGGAACATTCTTGAAACACAGATGGCACTCACGGAGATTTGTTGGATGAATGGAGAGTGGTTCAAAGTACAATCTCTGAAGTATGACATATCCGTATGTGAGTCTAAGTTGTGCCGCTTACTAGCAGCGTACCTTTGGGCAACTTTTAAAATCCATTTTAAGCCTTAGGATAGAGATAGTACCTACCTTACAGGGTTGACCTGGGAAGGAAATGTGAAGATGCCAGGCACATGGCAAGTCCTCTGTGAGGGGTGGCCCTGCACTGCTTCTAAGCCCCAGGCTCAGCCAGAGGGAGACCTTTGCTCATGTATTTGTAGATGAGGAAATCAGGAAAATAAAGTTCCGTGTTTTTGATTGCTGAGCCCTCCACCTCCATCCCCACCCCAACTCCAGCTGTTCTTGATGGGCTCTCCCAACGCTCAGTGCTCTGCTTCATTTTCTGGTTCAGTAAACAGTCTCTGGAGTGCCTTCTCATGTGCCTGGTACTGTGCTGGTGCACAAGGTGAATGAGCTGCAGGCCCTGCCATCGAGTACCCACAGCCCATTGGCAGAAGCAGTGACTGGAGCCAGCCATCTGATTAGGACTGAGCAAGGAAAGCCCCAAGGAGAGGCCCAGCATAGGGCTCACTGCTTGCCTCATTTAGGTCTCTGCCCTCTCCTTCCTC